GAGGAACGTGTGTGCTGACCGCACAGCCGTACGATGTGCACTTCAATTTCGTCAGCCTTGCGGTTACACGTCACTCAACGACTGTATATGCTACACTGCTTACTAAACATAAATTTGCCTTTGAACAGAATGTTAATAATATTTAGCAAAACACATTATCAGTTTCCATAAACTCTACTACTATAAGAGCCAAGAAGGTAATCCAGAGGCGAGACGCCTTAAACTAATCTGTTAATTCATTAAAGAATTGTTTCAATTTTTACAAGGGCCAACATACCTAAATAGCATATATATGTATAAACGAGTATTCAATTACATTGAAATAGATACATATTTAATTAGTTTAAACCAAGAATGTTTTGGTTACAAAATCTATATTGAATATAAATTGTGTTAAAAGAATGTGCAACGACAGGCAAGCGAGGTATTGTTATGAAGGAGATAGGGTAGGGGGCAGGCGCGACTCGATCAAGCTTGCATAAATCGATGCGATACGCCCGGATCGTGAACAAAGCCGCAAGCCGCCCCGAGACGTGGATGGGTACTTTTACCCTACTACAAACATGTATAGCTACGTCTATTGAACGATACGCGAACAGCTAATATCGTAAAAAAATCCTCTTTACTATTTCTTGTCACTTCCAACACGTACACGTATTACGACCGTCTCGGTTGTAGTTTACAAAAGGTAGCACTGTATTCTTCTCAACAAAAAGGAGCCAGCAAAATAGAAGTCTCTCGTAGAAATTGATGTTTTTTCTCGAATGTCTTAGAAACCTTTTTACTGTTACAGGATTTTTATAGAGATTATAGTATGTGCTCACATCAATCCTCATTTCGATCAGAGTGATGCCCTATGATATTTGATTTTTTTTTCCTATGCAAACGATTACCATTTCACTGAGTTGCACAAATCCAGGAACATCCTTATTCGTAAAAAAACATCACTTTATAAAAATATAAAGTGATGTAACTGCTCATAAAATATTATTTTTATTTATTATATTTTATTTTATGCAAAAAATATATTGCATAAGGCGCACTAGTGCTTTATGCAATTAGGTATATTAATTAACTTATAAATAACTTGAAATAAGTACCTACTCATTATTTATAGAAAATATAAACCAGCAAAAAACCGGTCCCAAAGTCACGATGCTTAAGTGTTACTTGTTCACATGTTTTACAACTTTGTCATAATTAATTCTCGATACAAGATTATAAATTTAGGTTCGGCGAGAGTGACTGCAAGACACGATAGATAATCCGCGTGGAATAATGTGGATGCGTCGACACAATCTATGTGTTATTCCCTATCAAGAGACAGAGATTGTAAGAAGATTAACTACGACGTCTACAGAAACGTTAGAGAATTTAGACTGAATTCGGGGATCAACAGAAGCTCTCTGTACAAGATTACAGAACAATTTGAACACGCCTTGCTTTACATTATAATAATGTGGTTGACATCGAATTGGTAAGTTATAAGTCGAATGGGGTACTGTTGTTATTACTTATTGAATAATTAGATACGAAAATATTTCTAGAGCAAATTATTCGTATTTAGAAATGGTATAGTATTAATGAAATGTTATATTCGGGGAATACCCTGTAATCGAATATAACAATTCAATAATATGCTAATATATGTAGAATGGCAAGTACGAACGTCATCTTGTTCAACTGCTCGCCTCCAGTCTTCTTTAGCGATACCATCGCGACTACCTAGTAAGTGCTCTGTAACTTGTTCTTAATCTGATCGTTCTTCACAAGGTAGCCAACTATAAAAATACAAACTTTGAAATGAGACATATTCAAGTAAATTTGCTTAAGATAATTTCATAACAACTTAAGTAACGCATAATTCCCTTTTTAAAGGCTTTATACCACATTAGTTATTAACCTTTAACATGTTTCATCAACATAACTCAATACTCAATCATTTATTGGACTTTATGAGACTTCGGTGTAAATAGTAATATTAACGATATTTGAAAATAACTGTCATTTATAAGTCAGTGATATTTAACAAATACAATTTTGAAATAACCGTTTATTCAACTATATAGCCACTTCACCACTAAAACACGAGTGAGTAATTAAATTACTAAAGCAAAGAAGAAAGCAGTATAAATTACACTAAACACTTCTTTTAGCAGCGCTAAGTTTTGTTTTTCAATAAACAAGTCAGAGTAGATAGAGCGTTGTGTAAAAGTAAAAATAAAAGGCGCGGCTACCGCGCAATCTGTTTCACTTTAGGGCGTCTTAATAATTACAAGTGGCCATTCTTTCCAATTAAGAAAAGTCTTGTGCTATAAATTGTGAGGGTTGTCGCAGGCGCAAAGCGAACGGCCGTTGTTACACAGCGCGTAAACATGCCGCTAGGGCTGCCACTCACCTACTATAGAAAAAAAAAAACATTTCTATTTTAACGGTTTAATAAAGTACTCGGTCCTCGCCTGTATTTATGTAAGTCATTTATTTATACCCACCGTTTCTACCTTAATTAAAGCTGCGCACCTTTAAAACGCAACGACCCCAGTATATCGAAGAACAAACGCAAATTTATTCTGACCGGAGTTTTTTCGGTATCTATTAAATAAAGAAGTCGAGGAGAATGCTAAACAAGGTTGAGCGGCCCTCGCTGCGAGTTTTCCACTTGAAGTGGTGTGCGGGCGCTAGGGTGACGCAGGGGTGGGCGTGGGGTGTGTTATTCAGAGTGGCTTAGATAAGGTAAGGAGGATGAAGAGGCGAGATGCGCGGCGTAATGAACCGGCTCCGAGCAGTTTTTGTGTGGTTCGGGCACCCAAATTGAATATTAGGCGCGATTTGAGAGCGAATGAGCGGGCGGCGGAAATAAATCCGCGGTTATTATGTTACTCAAATGAGATTGTGGAAGGGCTCGCTCTGTTAGGCTTCCAGCGGCTGCTTAATTTTGCGTCGGTGTAAATTGCAGTCATAAACTCTGTTATTCTGTGGTATTTTAAAACCTTTTTAGAAAACAAATTAACGTATAAATGAACAATTATCCACCGCACGATCATCGCGTTGAGTCGGCAATTCAATTTATTCATAAGGTTAGGGGTAACTTGTAGATCATGTACCTACAAGCAAAAAAGCAAATTAATTTAACATTTTTGGCAAGCAAGCAAGTTTACTATAATGGATAGACAGCTCGCATCGATATTAAATTAATATAAATAGAATTCAAAGCGAAGCTGTGTAGAAATCAAAACTTTCCCTACACTTTAATGTAAACATGAGTCCGATGTATCGGAAAATCAAATATACGGCGCGCGATGTTTGCATATGAACAACATGCCGGCTGCAACTATGTAGCACCTTCGTGATTCGTAATAAAAACATGCCGTGGACAGACGGGTGATGGCGGGCTGGTCACATAGTCGACAAGTGTAACCTGACGCCCCCGCACCGCGTACAGCCGCAGCCAAGACGCGCTCAGTTTATGTAAACTTTATTACGGAGTGCACTTCTCCTTGCCCCCCTGGCTACCTCATTTCAAATTGTTAGGTGCGTCCGTGCATTACTCAGCTCGCCGCGTGTTTGCACAGATCCACGGTTCCGTGAGCGGACTGCTAACACGCCTGCTGTCGTATCGGGGTCATACTGCAAGACAAACTCTTCACGTGCTGTCGTCGAGTTATAAACTCGCTCACCTTACAAAAGTTTTCCAACAAACTTGTTAAAGTATGCTCTACGAGTTGATACGCGGTAATGTGATCGCTACGTGACTGATTATGTTTTTCTTTCGCGGTTGGAATTTGTCTGGAGTGCGTGGATAGCAAACATCTGGTACCGTTCTGTTTGTTGTACGAGGTAATTACAAGCAGGTTTGTTTTGGTTTAACAAATAATTTTGGAATATGAAAATTGTCGATAAGCTTTTGATTTAGCGTAAATAATAATGTTTAAGCCTTGTAATCTTTGGTTCTTAACAACATTTTGTACAAAACGCTACTACCCAAACCACATTCAAGCACTAATATTCACCGAACAGGCGGTAGCAAACTAACGAGGTGCCATTGTCAAACGCGAATAATTATTGTGCGAAGTAGGTTAGTACAACAAAGACGATGTTATAAAGTAGGTGCGGCGGTATCGATTCGCATGCATTTCGCTTGCAGAGAGCGGTAGCGGCGGCATCTGTGCGGTGCGCCGCTGCGTTCAGGCGAGTACGACCCCCTCTCTCACCCACCCCATACGTACCACACTACCACGATAGCCGACATTGGCAACACCTCGCCAACGACGCACTCACCATCGAGCTCACTTCACCACAGGGTTGACCCTTGACTACAGTACTTAATTTTATTTGTTTTATAATTCTGCTATATTTGTACTTGATGCAATTAGGAACCGAACAAAGTGTGCTCAGAATAGAGGATGCGGATAGGGTTAGCGGATGTCACGGAAAATGTTTTTATAACGGTACATTATTGGCGATTACCGACCGACACATAAAAAAGTGTCAAACAAAATTTGTATGCATAGGTAGTTAAGTTAATATCGGATGTATCCGTTACGTGACTAGCTTTTACGATTAAACATACATGTATTACAATGTTACTTTTAATGCAAATCGATAGTTTGCATGATGCGTGTCACATTACGGCTTTAGAAGTCGCCCATTATTATTATATATTCATTTGATACATTTTGATTTTTAGAAGTAATTAAAGACAATACCGTAAAGTTACAAGACACGTGTCGAACAACACAATTCGAACGTTGAATCTTGATGCTCGAGTAAGTGTGTTGGCACCCCTGAGGCGGCGGGGTGTGCCACTTGCACCACCCACTTGTTTCAGTCAGGGCCGTGTTATGAAATCAACGTGTTCGAGCGCAACACTTCTCTCCACGTTCGCATTCCCAAATGGTAAAGGCAGTACGTACGCTTGTTGGCGAATTTTTCAAAGCAAAATTTTGCCGTCGGAATTTTAACAACCCCAGCGAAATTGGAAAAAGTTATTCTATACTCACATGTCTCTCCTCTGCTGAACTGATACCTGCAACCAAGTGGGACATACGTTAAAGTGGTTCGTTTGAGTTATGTAATGAAGTTTCTTTTAAGTTACAATATAATATAATAATCGATTATTAGAAATCCATTTCTTTTTGGGTAAGTATGTATATTGTAATCCTGTATAAATAACGCAATCTGTATATGTATATGTATATGGAATATAATATGCGAGTGTGTAGGATGGTGGTAGATCAGACGAGGAGCAGTGTAAAGTGGTTGATGAATATTGCAGAGGTTGTCGGCGCGATCGCTTCGCTCTTACGCGAACTGACACCTTAATGCCATTACATGTTATGTAGGTATGTACATTGTTTGTTTAGGCATATTTAAACACAATTACAAGAGTAAATGTTTGATTACTTTCGAGTGTCAGATGGCGCCCTTTTAAGTATAGGATTATGTTTTATTCTATACTTACTACTACTACTTACTACTGTACTAGAGTAGATTCTAACTCAGACCAAAGTAATTAGTGATAATATTATAGAGAAAGGCTTTTGTTTTCATTTTCGTTTTTGATATAATAAGAGTACTTATGTATTTTATGTAAAAATTAATTAGGTTTAGATTTTTTTATCCAGGTAGAGATGAGACAAAACTATACATATACTAATATATTTTTATTTGCTATATGTTTGACTATAAGTTTCAATACTATATAAGGTCGTTTTAAACAATTCGATGACGATTCAATTTTAAAATAGGCATGTTGTTGGATTGATTTCATTGTTTTGTACAACTCGAGAAAGCAAATAAACAGAAGCCAGTGTTTGCGTTGTTAATCTTTTTGTCATGTTACTCTTAGTTAAAAATAAGTACGAAATCTACATTTGCCCATTATTATGGTGAAAACTAATTGCACGAATTTCTTATCTCGTATCTTCGCCATTGTCATATGAACATTTGTACCATATGTACTGTATAGTTTAATCAAAACAGCAAATCTTTCGTACGTTACAAATGTATGTATGTGCATTAGTTACTGAATATTGCATATATTAAAGGCATTATCTGAGTCGGCTGATTCGCCTCAAGTTTGTGAGCAATTGCAGCCAATCCTATTACTATTCACATGCTCTACATATGTACGTACATATGCTACCAGGCGCCGTATTAGCACTGCATGTATTGCCACAATTAATTTAAGCGCAATAGCCCCAATTAGTGGTCGGTTCGCCTACACATGCCCGCCTCGCTTGAATGCTTCGTGCACATCGCTCCAAAACAATGCAATCACGTCATAACAGACAAATTAGATGTTTCATTTGCACTTTTAACTAATAACGTACTGATTGGACATATGTTATTTCAGACGTGTATAAATCACTAGTTATTACTTCTAATGCAACACGTATGTCTGTAATTTGGTTAAAGTGCGGCCTACGTGTGGGTCCGCGACCGCACACACTCAAGTCAGCCGCAAAATTACGTTACTAATTGACTAAAACACGCGACGCTCACACCAGCAAGGAATAATTAATTGAGCTCGGGCAAGGTGCGGGGTTAGGGGTGGGAGCGGAGGGGGCCATCTGCGCGGTAACTCTTACATCAGTACACCGATAATGGCACAAATTAGCCGGGGAAGTGGCAGGCGGCGGGTCGGGGGTGGCCCGGGGGGCGCTAAGCCGGAACATCCCGGAGCGCAGATTACCGCTTGCTTTTGTAATTAACCGGAGCGACGGCTTCCAAATCCATTTCTGTGTTACATTTTCATTTGTGGCGCGCTCGTCCTCGGCGCGCTGGGATTACTCGCGCTACTGTGAAAACTGGAAACATTGAAACGCTCCCTGTTGTTTGATATGAATAATACCCAACGATGCTGGCGAATTATAAATTGCCTATTCGTTTGATGTATCCGGGTCGCGTAATACGAAAAATGTTTTCCACCAATCTGTTTCACGTTTCTGTTTACATGTATTCTGTCCAAACACGCGCGTATATAGGTACCGGGTTCGAAGAATTCACTTAGTCATACTTAAAGTAATATCGAGCGAACCGTAGCCGTCAGCGATCCGAAAACACGCAAACAGTGAGTTCAAAAAGCCACTCGAAGATTGTAAATATTGAAACAGAAGTGGGATCGGAGACGTCTGCTACGGGGCGGGAAGGGATGGCGAGGGCAGCGGGTGAAGGGGAATACAGTCGGTACGGGGAGGCACTAATAGTCTCCAGTGGCACACTGCAAACAAGACGAATATACAAATATCTTGAAATATTCATTTTTGTATCGAACCGTTACTTACACACTTGGTTTGTCAATTTTTCTTTGAACAAGAATTTATTAGGTGTAGGTATCTATTTTCCAATATGGATTTGCAAAATGAGCTAAACGTATGTTTTGCTTAATATGCATATATATATCGTTTAAAAAGACAACTCCCGCATTAGGAATATATAATATGTTGCGGGGGACTTTACATACATACATGAAACGGAAACAAAACAACAACGGAAATATCTCACCATTGCCTTTGTCGTCCGGTCTATGTAGGTCAGGTGGCTTCGCGAGGACTGAGAGAGGATGATGTGGAACGCCTAGACCAAGGAGACCAGCGGGAGGAAGAGCACCTTGACCTAAAATCGGTAGAGGTGGCGCGCCATGCGCCGGTAGGTGTGCCGCATGCATCTGCTGTAGAAGCCGCGGTAGGTCAGGCCTTTGTTGCTGGAACAAAGCAAAAAAAACTTAAGCACACTTGGCTATAAAATAAAAACAAATAAATACTTTTTATTTCTACATTAAAACAATGGCCATTAAATGAAAGGGTACCCTGTAGGTAGGTATGGAAAAATGTGGATCATAGTTTCATTTATGACTTGCTAACGTTTACATAAGTAAACTTACTCAGTTAACTGTTACCATTATTAACAACTAACAGTTAACGGTTGTTTAAACAACTGATCACATTTCTATTGGATTCACTTAGGCTTACTCCTTTAAGTTGACTTAAATAAATAATTAAAACATTATTGAAATAATATACCAAGCACCTGCCTTGCGATCACAAAGGTCGACTTATCGTACAATGTCGACGCAAAAATGATTTATTATGCACCCTGTAGCCACACAGCTATTTAAAATGATATACTGAATTTCAGAGTGCCAATAGTCGAAGTGGATTGATGTGTCACCGCAGAACTCCGTGCATTTTTAAACCGAAGCCAAGCTAAATTAAAAAGTCCTCTACGGGACCCCTCGGTTCCGCGATATTTTAAATTTTAAATGAGAGTTTCACCGGCGGCAGCGGCGACTGAGCCAAATTGATTACTCCTCCATTATTCCCTTTTTTCAGTTTTTCTATTTTCCCGCACTTCCCGTTCCTATCTCATTTCGTTTAATGTTATTGTTCGTATACTCTGCGGAGGGCTCGCATCGCTAACCAAGTGAAGCGTTGTGTGTTGTTTCATCACTTATCGTTGTGCCCATTCCCGATGGTTTTGGAATCTTTTTTCGGGTTCTTCGTTCTAGAATAATTTGTGTTTTCTAGGTCCGCTCTCGCTTATGTTTGCACGCCGTTCGCTTATAACACGTATCCGTCGAGCAAGCTTTTTCCGCTCGGGCGAGCAGGTTCTTTTTTTAACCGCCGAAAATTAATTGGATTTTCGCCGAGGGTGGAACATATTTTTTATTGGCCGCTCACGGCTGTGATTTATTGTGTGTCAAAAGGTGGTGAGCGCCACTTAGTTGGGAGTGCTTTTTTAAAAAAGGGGATTTTGAAATTTAAATTATTGCCATTTGGTCGTTTACACGTTTTGTATTAGACTTATTAAATAAATAGTTTTCGGTTAGAATTCTTCAATGTTTATCAAACGTGGTATATCCTTTTTTTAAAGGGTATAAGTTGATGGGAATAAAAGGCTTTCATCGACAATGCCTTTTTGTAAATTTTAACAAATTAAAAAAGATTGACGCAGTCCACACTAATTGGTAGTTGGTACGTTTATTTATTTACGTTTCGTCACGACATTTTAACACAAGTTAGTATCATTGTATATTATTATTTTGCTGTTTTATTTATGTACGGAAAACTAATATTTATTATGTTGTCTTATCTTCTGCATACGAAAAGTTATATGTTTACTTTTAAAGCAGTAGTAAAAAATATTGAATGCTAGCAAATTATTATCGACGATTAGTGTTGTGTGACGGAACTGACAAACAAATAACTGAATACCAATTCTTGTAATAAAAGTTCGGTCTCAATTCGATTCCGATCAACATTCGTTGTGAGATACAACTGTCATTCAAGGTATTTTACTAGTGAAGTATTAAACATCAAACGTTGACTGTAATGTGATTTTATCGTATTGTAACCGAAAATTGAATCGGTAATCTGCTAGTCTTAATAATACTTTACTATTTAACTACAAAAATACCTTTTATGATAGTTGTGAGATCGAAAGTTGATCGGAACTGAATTGTGACCGAACTTATTTTACGAGAATTGGTAAAAGCGGTAAAAGCGTAAAAGGTAAGAGACGTTAAATATCATCAATATTAGAATTTGCAAATTAGAATAATATTGCCAATATCAGACTTAGGTGTAAAGCCGATACCAAAACCTAGTAAAGTATAAAATATAATATTTGTAATGTTTTAAGTGTGATAAAAACTTAACTATTCATAATATACCAGTAACTGTCACTGAACGGCTTCCCAGCTAAATTTGAACACATTTTTTTTGTTTTGTACCCTTTCATAGTTCTTGTCTGCTGGCTTATATTCTGACAAAACCTTTTTAGATAAAATTATATATAGAACAATAGATACTTCGTGGAAGCTCGGAACACAAACTGACGTGTATGCGCCTAGGTGTAGGTATATATCTAGTTAAATGAATGTAACTAAATTATCTTAATTATAGACTATTTAAGCAAAAATAACACCATGAAACATTTTACGTAACCAGATGTATATTATTTATTTTGTTTCGTAAAACTACATTATTTTTAAATTTCTCTTTTTTTAGTCATTTGTTTATAAATATTTTATTTATGCACAGAATTAGTGCTTTATTTTTTCGCTACAGTTAGTGTTATAATAATAGACTTTTAACTAGATTTATTTTTATAGACAACGCTTGCATTAGGAATACGTTTAGTGTTGCGGGGAACTTTACAAACATACATGAAACGGACACAGATAACACCCAGACTGAGAACAACAATTTGTGGATCACACAAAGTGTTGTCATCAATGTATCGATGTAACGTATGATACATACGTTACATCGATAGTAATATAGTAGTAAAGATAATAAGGACACTGTAAATGTTTTAAATAAATAAAGAAATAAAATAAAAAATGTAACGCGTATCGACATTAGACATTATTCAAACATCGTTATGTAGTCAAAACAGCTACATAATAATATTAATAACGCATTCTCAGGTATTCCTTAGAATTACCGAGCAATCGGCAGGTTGCGGGTTCTAATCTTATCCGTACTAAATGAGATTACGAAGTACTTACCTACTTACTACCGACGAAAAGCCGTTCCTAATATAAGCTTACATTGAAGAGTAAAACAAAAGCCAACGGTAATATATCTACTATTTTGTACAGCAATTTTGTTTAATAGGTATGCGTTGTCACCTACAAAAATTATTATCATTTCAAATGTTACTTCTAGGAGAGAAAAAAATGTAGTTTTAATTATTCAAAGACTGCAATTTGCCATCCTTAACTAGTCGAAGTCAATGATCTATATAACCGCTACCACCGACTGACTATTAATTGACAAAACCAAATAAAATACCACAGTTCACAACCGCATTAATGTATAGTATTTAATTATATAAAGGGGATTAATGGGCAACCAATTATGCAATGCCGCCTCGGTAATTTAACACTGTATTTGTTTACCTAGTGGGAAATTATTTGAAGGTATATTATGTTGATGCCAATCGCTCACAATATTCTGTTAGCTCTGTTTTATTGGATCCATTTCCAGCACGTGACAATTATAAAGCTATACCTACCTACTACTTATGAAGTTCGCTATAGTTTAAACTTTCGCCAAGCTGTTAACGGTTATCTCGCTTACGATTGCATTATTTAAGTGTTTTTCAATGATAAACAGGTCAGTGACAACACTTAATTATGTATGAAAACTAACACTACTTATATTTGCCCCAGCCCTTGATCACAATTGCGCATAATCATTTTCATGAGCAAAACAAAACAATAATATACAAAACAAAGCAATTTCAGCAACTTAACTGTGGATAATGTTACGATATAACCATTAGTGTTTATCTGTTCATAATTTATTTTGAGATCTACTCGTAGTTACGACATGTATGTCAACATATTAATCTATACTAAGATTATAAAAGCGCAAGTGTGTTTGTCTGTTACCTCTTCATGCTTGAACCGTTGAACCGATTTAGATAAAATTTGGTAAAGAAATAGTTTGAGTCCCAGGAAAGGGCATAGGTTTATCCCAGAAATCATTCTTTGAGGGATAAAAAGAGGGTGAAAGTTTGTATGGTAAATAAATAACCGCTGAACCGATTCAGATGAAATTTGTTATGGAGATAGTTTGATTCTTGACAAAGGACTTAGTCTATTTTTTACCACGGTAACCTACATACATGCGGGCGCAGCCGCGGGCAAAAGCTAGTTATTAATAAACGCCTAACTTAAGCAAAATAACCTCATTAATATTTTATTTCATCATTATTTCTTTTTTAATTAGATAATTATCGTTTGCTAGTTGGGAGACATATTTGTACAAACATTGCTCGAGTTAACTGTTCCCTCGTTACGGTGCGGTGACGTGATCCCGCAGCTATCGCTATCGAGTGCTCGACTCGCACGCCTCACACCTCACGCCATCTCACCCCTAATACCCGACGCCACCCTATCCTCCCAGTCGCCTGTTATGAATGACAATAACGTGGTGTCATATCTCACCGCGATTTTTTCCACCGTACATATTTAGACGTGATTAAATATCGTAGATACGGCCTCCTCGGGATTAAAACTGGATCCCCTAACGACTTTTCCATCCATTTACTTATCTCCTTCAAACTTTGGTGTTTATATTATCGACTGAATTTAAGTTTGATTAAGATTCCCCCGGGCGACAAGGAGAAACTTGATACTTTTTTTAGAAAATTATCGGCTGTCTCGCTGTTTGGGAATATAATGAAATATTCCGACCTGAACGACAAGGAAACAAAAATAATTTATTTCATATGTAAAACAGTATAAAACCTAAGCTAAAGTAAAAAGCGAATTGACAAAAAGGAAAATATGAGTAGGACAAACCTTGTTCTACGTAGATGATATTTGAGGTGGATATATGATACCCCAACGTAATGTATATACACATGTAATCTTGCATAGATGGTAGGTACGAGTATGTGCGGGGCGGCAAACGTGGGCTGTCTCCAAAGCTTTTGTCATGAGAAAAATGCTTCGGCGCGTTCGGGTTTTCACGGCACATTTACCACGCTGTATACGCCCGGGATTATTCTTCATTTATAAATGGATAGCGCACGCCAACCGCACAGATTTACCCACATAAATATCTCGCTGGCTTAAACAAGTATTATTTTTGTAAACTTTTTTCTAGCAAAACTTGGTTTTGCCCGGATAGTGACTGAGTACATGTTTTATTTTAGTAAATTAAGACACCATTTTAATGAAGTACCTTT